TATTCATACACCAGAAACCACTCTTGGGATATTTGTAAAATTATATGCTTTTGAAAAATTATTCTTAAAATTGTATGCTCTTAAAATATGCACCATAACACACATGTACACTATAATTTGACACAAATTTTACGTAATAACCAGTAAGGATATGAGATCCCATTATTTTTCATCTTTCTCATGTTTAAGGGCTTCTAACATATTTTTAAAGATTTATTGTTTGGAAAATATAAGAACTCTGGTCAGAAGATGCGGTTTGCATTTAGTATGGTGTGTGTGTATCTTTTAATAATAGATCATTGAAATTTATAACAAAGAACATATTATTAGTTAGCAACATTTTATGTGATTAAGTAAAAATATAATAGTTAAGTTTATAATTTTTTGGAAATAAATTCAAAGTAAGTACAAAAGATTAATAGAAAGAGTTGAAGAGAAGGATGCTATTATCAGTTTTGTACTTTCGGCTATGTTAGCATTGCGTTGAATCCATGCTCTAATGACCCATGACCTCCGGTATCATGGGACCAGATATTTTCACCTCCTACACTATTACACCAAGATAAATGGATGTACGACTGCTAATCACCTTGCGGTTCTAGAAAGTCCTGTCAGTAGTATGAAAATCTCTGAGCAATTGAACATTTTGGATAAAGGGGCGTAGTGCTGCAATATTGTTGATATTCCGGTCATATATATCTGCATAGATGATTTTGACTGCTTATGAAAACTAGAAAATTAATGAGTATTTATTGCTTACAATCACTCTAGGAAGTCCTAAGATGATAATGACTATCAACAATATGAATTGACCTACAGTAAAATGGTCCCAACATAGGTATGTCTTCTTAGTAATCAGTTATCCATTAACCAAGAGGAATGATTAGTAATCATCTTTTATTGAACACCTTGACCAAAAGAAAGTGCATAATTTTGAATGGTCAAAACTACAAATGCAACTAGTACATATCAATATAATTGAGATGAAGGACACACATACCCAAAGCACAAACAACCATGATAAAACAACTATGTATGCCTAAATAAATTTGATAGGTATGAAAGTTAGAATGATCCTTAAATCTCAAACTATGAAGCAACAGAGGTGTCTAGTTTAATTCCCAAGCCACTTCCTCTCAACCAGCCCACCCTGTCTCATACAATCTCCCATTTGGTGTATTATGCTCCTCTGCTTTTACTCAAAAAAAGATTATAAAAGTGGTCCTCTGGTTTTGGAAATAATTTTGTTTGAGTGGTGAAGAAGTAAAGTTGACAAAATCATTTTCCCCTAGTGCAATGTTTTGCGACAATATAACGCACCCCCCATCCCCTCTACGACATGGGTTGACCTATTTCCCCCTTCTCTCCTTTGTTTTTTCGCGTGATCATGATGAATGACTGGCATGTATTATGATACATATATCTGATATAATGTGTTGTGCGCATTGCAAAACTCTTTCGAAAATAAGCGAACTCTTTCCATAAAACATCAACAATTTTTAAAGCACATGACTATTCTTTTCAAATACAATACTAATATAGGGTTTTCTAAAGCATGAATATTATTTTAATACATGATCATTTTTTCAAAAAATACCTGAATTTTTTCAAACGTATGGATTTTTTAAAAATAAACACAATCCTGCAATACTCGAATGTTTTTAAGATGTTCATTTTTACTACTCCTAGTACATATGGATGTGCACTGTTACGGTAATAATTATGGCACTTGCCTATAACACAATAAATATGATTTGAGGAAAAATGAATATTGTTTGATTTATGACCCACATCAATTAGCATGGATGTCCAATGGCAACTCCATGATCGAGTCTATTCTCTGTGGTAGACTATCACGACCATCGCTCCCATACACCTAAATCATCATACATCAAGACTCCCCTCATATAGGATTTACACTTTTAACCGCAGGAGAAAATTTAGGATTAACTTTTGCCTATTTAGAAATGCTTTTTAAGCATTTTGGAGCAATGGTTTTGCAAATATATAGAAAATTCATCAATTTTTATTGTCAAAAAATTTACATTTTTTTACTTCAATATTCATGAGGAGCATTTGAGCCTGCAAGCGGAATGACACTTTCGCTATGTATCCTCTTTCCCTTAAAAACGGTGTGTTGGGTGGAGCGCACGCATGCGCAAGGGCTGGCGGCGATCTATCGGACGTGGAGGGGAGATGAGATCAGGAGGAGGCGGGAGGAAGAAGACCCGACCGATTTGCCGGTCTACAACAGACCCCTTGTTGCTATCGTGTGTCTTGTCACAAGGGGGTGTTTCAAACCAGTGCATGGGGTAGTCACGTAGGAAATCTATGCGTGCCTAGTTATTAGCGGGGTGGGGTCAAGTATTTACGCATAAACATTATAAAATTGTTCCCTTGTTCTTGGAAATTATTTCGGTTGAGCGGTGAAGAAGAAAAGTCGGGGAAATCCTTTTTTTCCCCTAGTGTAACCTTTTGCAACAATATGACACACAACCCCACGACATGGGCTGGCCTGTTTCTCCCTTCTTTCCTTTCTTCTTTCGCAGTATTTTCCCCCTTTTTTTCCACCAGTTAATCTGCCTGTTTTCATATTTCATTTTTCCTAGTACATGGAATATTTTTTCCCTAAACCGAACAACTTTGCATCTGATAAAAAGAGCCCAATATAGATAAACATAAATATAAACCGCGTAGTGATCACCATGAACAGCTGACATACAATATCATACATATATCAGATACAATGTGTTGTACACACTTTCCAAAATACATGATATCTTTCCAGAACACATCACCGTTTTTTAAAAGCACATGAAAGTTTGTTTTAATATGTAGCTAACATAAGAACATTTTTTGAAAGCATGAATATTTTTTAATACATGATCTTTTTGTATGAATTTTGTTTTGTAAAAATGAACACTTAATCCTGAAATGCTCGAATATTAAAAAATAGGAGTATTTCTTTCTAAATATACATTAATTAATTAAAATATTTATTTAAATTGTTGTATACATACATTTTTAGGGGTATGTGTACACATAGATATATTTATGTAAATAATTAAGCTGTTTTTGGCCAAGCTAATCTGGCCTATATGGGTGTTATATAGTCTATTCATTTCGAAAGTTGGCAAATATACAATTTATTCCCTTTTTAGCTTTTGTTTTTGCTTTTGCAAGCACACAATATAGAAATATGCACAACCAGTTAATCAGATTAAATACTTGATTACTCTTAAAAGACAATTTAATATTTCACATTGTTCGAGAGCCGCATCTAAACCCAAGGCTAGCCCTTGGGAGGAGCAAGGGCAGCTGGCCGGGGCACGGAGTATTGTTGCACTGTTAAATATCATCAACACTTTAAAAAAGGTCACTGGAGCTAGCCATGTAGGTGAGCTCCTATATGACGCTAGTTGCGTAAAAGTGTCAAGGTATCGCACATGAGCCAACGACCTCGACCAGCACACACTCGTGATCAGGACAAGACAGTTTTCTTCTTGTGTTCTGGGTTTTCGAAAAAAATGCCCATAAAAATAATTTTTCCCCATATTTAAAACTATTCTTGAATTTCAAAAATGTTCTCAAAAGTAAACAAGTGCTTGTGTTTGAAAAAGTTTTTCCAAATTTATTTTTGTGTATTTTTATAAATATTTCCAAATTTAAGAAAAAAAACTCACAAATTAAAAATGTTATTATATTTTAGAAATTTTATTATATTTTAAAATTTTCATGAAGTAAAGAAGAAAGAGGGGAAAAAAGGAAGGAATATAAAAACTAAATCAAAATAAAACCACAGAAAATTGGTGACGAAACAAACTAGAAAAATCCCGGCCTAATCGCTGTGATTGGCCGACATTTTCAAGAGACAAACAGGCAATTCCACCAGTAACAGGCTAAAAGCAACACTCTCAAGATGATCATCATGGATGTCCCTGATAGGTTATGACAGTTGATGCAGTCTGAATGTATTCCCCCACTTGAGTAATTCTTTCACTCGAATTTCTTGGAAAAAAAAAACTTCACCACAAACACAGCTAGAAAGATGCATCCTCGGTTTATCCTGAAGGAATTCCCAGTTATAAAGAATAGTGCCCTAAGTGGACCGACTATGATTTCACTGAGAACCTTTAGTGCGGACTGAAACAATTCCTGAAAAAATTTCAAGGATTAATACCTTCAGTGTCGACTGTTAAAATTGCTGCACAAACGGAGCTAGAAAAATCAATCCGTTATGATTGTATTGTACACCCCAAACATTCTATTGGACTCCAAACAATTGAAGGTGCTCAGAATCATTTTCAAGAAATTCCCAGAAAATCGCGTATGGATCATCCATGAGCAGAGATTTTAATTTGCAGGACAAACAATGTTAGAATCATGAATTTTCTTAATGCACACAATACATCCGTGAACACAAAAATCTGGAAAAAGATTCCCAAAATCAAGCATTTTCTTATGTTGTGGTATCAGCCCCGGACAACACGGCCGGCCCCAAAAAATTGGAAGCGCTCAACCAGATGTGCATCCGTTCTTAAAAATACAGCATCACTGCAGAATAATTTACTTATACAGTTTCGTAACTCACGGGTTCCAGACTACAACCTGTTATAGCCGAATCCAGTTTTATGTTTTGGGCCACTGGAACCTGCTGTACAGGAGGTTCCCGAGAGCGAGACAATGCATTCGGATTCTTTTAGCGAGCAGCAAAAAATTCAGAATGGTCATATTGAAAAGGCTGGAACAGAACAAGTGCATTATTTATTTTTTTGACGCGTTCAACTGCTTGAGCGAACAACCTGTTCAACCTGTAACAAGAAAAATACGTTAAGCATTTTCCCCCCTTCAAATATAAGTAGTGTATAAGAGGTGACGAACATGGATGGCGTGGGCAATCCCTCCAGTAGCACACAATTGTATGATTTTGGTGGTTAGTCGGAAAAATAACTGGGTATATGGTAGAAGTATACCTTAGAAAGATAGTACGTACTTAGTAATCACTTCACATAGTCCCCATCAATTTTGACCTCCAGCTTGCTTGTTGCTAGCGATCTGCATTGTTCTGATAACTCGTCGCTGCACTTGTAGATCACCAGTTTTTCCATCCAAGGTGGGAGGCCCGCATTGGGAAGCCCTGAGATGTGTTTACACCAGCTGATGTCCAACTTCTTGAGGGAAGGGAGGCCGCCTAGCCCTGCGGGAAGATCTACGAGATCCTCACAAGCCCAAAAGCTGAGCTTTTGCAGGGACCCGAGGAGCAGAAGCGCTCTCTCTTGCTCATCTGTTAGTCTCGTTGCATCCAAAAAAACAAGCTTTAGGCTTCGGAGGCAGGTGAGGCCCTTGCAGAATGATGTGTTAAGGGGAGACAGGTCATGGATCACGAGCCTTTCCAGTGCAGGGAATAACTCACAGTTAAAGGGAGACAGGCTATGACTTGAAATTCCCTCAATTAGCTCAGAACTCTCCGGTGTGGTAAGGGGAAGTACGGCAGGGGGCCTACACCTTAATTCCAAATGCTTGATGTTCACCAGGGATCGCAAGCCCAAGGCAGGGGACTTGAGTATTAACAAATGCTTGAGTTTCACGAGGGATGGCAAGCCCTCTAGTGTGACGAGGGAACTGCAGAACCAAATTTCCAAACGTTCCAGCGAGGTGCAAGAATGCAGCTGTAGTGATTCCAATCTTGAGTTTTCATATAATGTCAAAGATCTGAGGATTGCAAGCGATTGCAAGCCCTCTAGTGTGACGAGCTGATCGCAACCGCGAATTTCCAATTGTTCCAAGGCCGCACAGGAATCCAACTGTAGATATTCCAAACTTCTTCCATTCGTTACATTTATTTTTTTTAGGCAGGTGAGATTACCCACAAAGCAGGGCCGCAGAGTTTTTCGAGAATAATCAGACCAATCAAGTTGTTCAAGTGATTGCGGGAGGACACATCTTCTGTTCTCTACCTGTGAGGAGGAGGTAAATCCAGCAAAGCCTTCCCTAATCCCGTCAAATATTAAGTGAGGGCATCCACCAATTTTTATCTTTTTGAGATTCAATGGAATGTGCACAACTCCGTCTACATAATCTGATGACGAAGCCTCGAAAGCTGGGAGAAGGTTTGGTTGAACATTTCCTTCCTCTTCTATCTTCAACTGTTTTAACTGCGGGCAGTCATATAAATACAATTCCTTCAGGGTAGGCGAATGTCGCAGCATCAGAGATAGCCATTTCCCCGTCATTCCACATCCTTTAATATCAAGACTTTCAAGAGCCGGGAGAACATCGTCATTTGCAGTTATCATGTCGTCATGGGTCTGCTCTAGCATATCATCTAAAGAGAAAAGTTCTCTGCAGTTCACTATTTTCAAACTCTTTAAGGACATGAGCTGACTTAAGCCTTTGAATGAAATGGACGCTAGGCTTTCGCAATTCACTATCTCCAAGTATTTTATATCCTTGAGATTATGGAATGCCAAAATTTTGTCATCAATTGTCATCATCTCACTATATCCGCTAATCTCTAATTTTTCCATGGAAGATCCCTCCATTGTCATAATTGGTGAAACCTTATTAATTGATAATTTAGAAAATATGGCTGAAGGCGGAAGAGGGGTTTGTACTTGCAGATGAGGACAATTGTGCATAATGAGTTTCCTCAAATTGGGCAACCATGACTTATGCTCAATTTCGTAGTTACCACCTCTCTGAAACAGATCGAACACCTCAAGTAAAGGGCATCTCTGGATCTCCAGCACCCTTAAACTAGACTTCATATCCCCCACGGAAGTGCAGGAACATGTCTGTAAATCTGGCATTCCATCTAAAACCAGCTCCTCCAATGATGGAACCGATATTTTTGTTACACTTCGCATGTTTCTCAACTTTAACCTTTTAAGAAAACGAAGCATTTCCAGAGATGAAAGTATTCTCCCTTCTCCGCAATTGTCTAGATTAACTGTATGCAATGACATAAAGAAAGCACCATCCAATTCCTGAAGATGGAAAAACTTGCTCAAAACATGAGGCAAAGGCTGCTGCTCAGCATTATCATCCTCAAGTTTTAGATATCGAAGACGTGTAGCATTTACCAAGCTACATAAGAAAGATTTAAAATCAGTAGATGTCGCAGACATTTGTAGCAGACGCAGATTATGTGATTTTTCAAACACATCGTGGAATGCTTGGAAGAAAAAGGAGTCATATTTCCCAATCAACACCAATGTTCTCAACCTTCTCACTGATGCGACTATATTTTGCAAGAAAAATTCAAACTTCTCACTACGAGGTATGTTCCCAGTCTGGCCATCCCTCCGATATACATAATCGGTTACTATAGACAAATGGCGCACAGTTGGAAAAATTTCATTGTGCTGCAAACCTTCCAAAGCTCCACACTCTGTTCTTGAAACTAGCCTTGCAAAATCATGCATTAGGCCACACATAACATAGTAAGTTTGACTTTTAACCTGCTCAAAGAAGCCCAGGTTCACCAAATCAGTCAGATAGTACTGTCCAATCTCCTCCAAACTGCTGCTTGAATGATCATGCTTCACAAATCCCTGTGAAATCCAAAGACGAACTAGCTTCTCAGCAGTAAATTGATAGTTGTAGGGGAATATAGAACAATATGAGAAACATTGTTGTACAGGATATGGTAAGTCATCGTAGGAAAGCTTCAAAGCAGACATGATGCCACCAGTGTGTTGCAAGGATTTCCACTGTTCATTCTTCAAAATGTTACTCCAATGATCCACAGTAAGTTGATCTCTTAATAGTGACCCGGCAGTTTGTGCTGCTAATGGGTTTCCTTTTAAATTTTGTGCTATTTTCTGTCCTATGTCACTTAGACTCGCTTGCTCTTCGTAATTCTCATCACCAAATGCACAAGCCTTAAACAATAGCCAGAAATCATCATTTTTCAAACCATGTAAGTAAATTGGTCGAGTTGTACCTCTCTTTTTGGCAATAGACGATTTTCTAGTTGTCACAATTATCATATTGCCAGTTGCACCATCAGAATTAAAAGGAGCCAACAATTTGTTCCATCGGCCGTCATCCATGCCTTCCCAAACATCATCTAAAATAAGCAGAATCCTCTTTGATTTAATATGACCCTTCAAGACATCCTGAAGCTTGGGAAAGCTGCATATGCCATCATGTGTTTCGTGGGAGACACAGTCTAACATCTCTCTTGTGAGTCTCATTTCATCAAAATTGTTAGGCACCCAAATCCATATCTTATGATCAAATTGACTTTCCAAAGCTGGATCATTAAACATGAGCTGAGCGAGAGCTGTCTTCCCAACTCCTCCGATGCCTACAATAGGCAGAACAGTTACGCCGGCAGTTGATTTGTGATTTCTTATTAACATTTTGATGGATCTCTTCTCTGCAGCTCTCCCATACACTTTGCCTTGAACAAGACTTGATGTTCTTCGGCTTGGATCTGAGATTGTACCTTGATGGTGGCTTGAACCTGCACCAACAGAGTCTGACGGAAGTATCTCAAGAAGCCTTGTGGTAGCCTCTCGTTTGCGTTGCAGCTGACTAGTGATGACTTGTATCCTTTCGGAAAATGCATCCTTGCTCCACCCGTTTGGGTTAGCTGCAGTGGATACCTGACCGGTTCTCATCCTTTTTCTGCTGCCAGTTGCAAGGGGAGTAGGAATCGTAGTACCTTCGGGGGTGCTGCAATAAGAAATAGATCAGGGATTGGCAGTGAGAAGCTTAATATGCTCTTAAGCAGATGTACAAAAGAAGACTCTGAAAAATAATTTAGGTACCTTGAAGGGCGACTCGCTCCACATTTGCTATTTGCACAACCTTCGGTTTCGAGATGCTTGCTCAAAACTGATGTCCCGTTTTTGGTTCGGCACATAAGCTCTTTTTGACAGCGCTTACATCTTGCTCTGGACGGTCCTCCGTTTTGGTCATGCTCTATGATGTCAAAGTGTTTCCATCGCTCGGACCGTAACCTGCAATTACTGCTACTCTGTGCATCATTAGCATTTTCTCTAGATCTCTCGACTTGCTGCGTCTGGAGCAGTGTTCCTAAGGCAGAAGAATAATTGGAGCAGATATTTAGCAAGCAATTCAGCGGCTACTTGGGTCTAAAAAATCCGTTAACCAAAATCACCTGTTTGGCAACCACAAAAAAATAATAAAAAAAATCACCTAGTTGGAGCTCCTGCTGAAGCCTGTAGCCGTCCAGCTCGTCCACCACATCGTCAGCGTCGTAGAGCAGCTCCTTGACGGCCGTCAGTGATCGGGTCAGCGGCTTGTTCCCTGCCGCCCTCCCCTGCACAGCAGAAACCACCATCTCCACCGCCTCGACCTCGGACTTGAGCTCCTCGACGTCGTTGCTGAGGCCAGCTTGGAGGATCCAGGAGTCCAGCTTGCCGCCGGCACGGAGATTTGCAAGGATGGTGTCGGCAAGCCAGCCAATCGCAGGCTCCAGGGTGGGTTCTTCCACCGCCTCCATTGGCAGATCCAGCGCAAGCAGGAGGCGGCGATGGGGAGCGCAGCAGCGGGAAGCAACTCACCAGATCCGTCACAAGCAGGTGGGTGAGACGAAGGTTGTTGGCTTGGCAGACATTTAAAGCACCGAAGAGTCGCGCGTTTGGTTGCTCGCTACAGAAAACGGTCTGATTGATTGCCAACATATATTGTTGAGCGTACGTTGTCTACCGCATGTGTATAGGACTTGGGTCTGTATTTATACCATTGTATCTCTCTCTCCCTCTCGTATATTTGTACATCTTGGGACACAAGTAGAGGCCGGTCCACCTTGTACCTATATATGTGCGTCATGCAGACGATCAATGAATTATCAATGCATGCAATCCCTTCTTTCCAACTATAACATGGTATCAGATAGCACGCCGATCCCTTTCCTCGCTTTCGCCTAAACCTGCGGCCGCCGCCCCTCGCTGCGTCGCCGCCGCTGCCGCTGTACACCGCCGCCGCGCCTCCCTCTCCCCGCAGCCGCCGCCCCTCTTCCCTGCCGCCGCTGCTTCTCCCCCCTAGCCGCCGCACTCCTACACCCTCACCCTACCCGAGCCGCCGCCGCCGCTAAACCCTAACCCATTCGAGTCGCCGCCACCCTCCTACCGCCGTAGCTCCCCATGGCGTCACCCCTCTCCAGCAACTCCAACCCCTTCGTTGGACCCGCACCTGACGCCACCGCCGCTCGCGATCTCGACATCCACACCCGTGTCCCCATCAAGCTCGACCAGTCCAACTCTTCGTACTACACATGGAAGACCTACTTCAACCTCCTCTTCCGCGAGTACTACCTCCTCGAGCACGTCGACGGGAGCATTGATGGCGACCTCATGGCGGGCGATCCGGATTGGGCGGCCATTGAGGCCTCTCTCATCCGGTGGTTCTATCTCACCGTCTCGCCGGACATCTTCCACACGGTCGTCTCGGAGGATGAAGAAGCGTGTGCCGTGTGGACCAAGATCAACAACCTCTTCACCGATAACAAGCTTCAACGTCTTGTGTTTTTGCAGCAGGAATTTTTCGGGTGCTACCAAGATGATTCCTCCATTGATGACTACTGCATGCGCCTCAAGCGCCTCACCGATCAGCTCCGCGACATCAGCGCCAAGGTGTCGAACGAGCTCATGCTTAGCACCCTCACCGCCAGCCTCAATGAGGATTTCGGCAACGTGGCCTCGAACCTCTCCCTGCTGCCGAACCCGACCTTCCAGTCCGTCACCGCGTATTTACGCTTGGAGGAAAGCCGGATGAAGAAGGTCAAGCCTCGTGTCCACCACACCGCCCTCGCCACAGGGATGTCTCGTGGGCATCCGCAGCCCGCACCGCCCCAACCACGCCCTCCGGCGCCACCGGGGTACTTCCCCCTCCCGCCTGCTCCGCCCGCACCTCTCGCTCCGCAACAGCAACAGCAGCAGGGCGAGGGCGGCGGTCGCCGCAACAGGTGCCGTGGGGGCGGGGGCGGCGGCCAACCCCAACAGCAGTAGC